TAAGGAGAAAATAAACTCGAAGATCAATGGGGGCATGTTCATTACTCGGCTTGCGAGATCATTTGGGATCTTGGAATTGCCGCAAGCTCAAATGCTAACGATTATCCACCCTCCTCCGTTCAACACTGCACTTTATAGGAGGGCTCGGATAGTGGAAAATTTTGGTGATTCTTTTACGATCCCGAATAAGGATGAGCCGGTGGTCCCCGAGGAGCCGGGAAGGCGGGTTAGGCCGAGAAACGAGCAGGTACGAGAAGACCCACCGGTTATTCTGGTGGAGGATAACGAGGGATGGAACCAAGTGGAGTATCGACGCTACTTGGATGATATAGGGCGAGGGGTTAATTACACCAATCAATCCTTCGACTATCTTTTCCAACAAATGCATATTGCCCCGCGACCGGGACCCGGCTATCCTTACATTATGGATTGGGATGAAAGGATGCAAAGAAGGGGTGGAGAAGGAGGTAGTGGAGCTGGAGGAAACCGGGATGGAAGAGGAAGAATGAAGATTTTATTTGCTTTTGTTTTGTTTGATTATGATGTTTGTTTTAAGACAATTGTGGACATGTTGAATTTGGCTATGTGGTTGGAATATTAGTGTTACTTTTAGTTTTCTTTTCAGGAATTGAAGCTAGGAAGCATGCTATATAGGAATGGTCAAGAGAGGAATAAAGAATCTTTATGAGTGCTTATGGAGTCTTGTTCCTAGGATCGAGTCCGTACGAATCGAGAGTTTATTGAAGTGTTACTGCTTAGGGAGTTTACTGGAGAGTACATTTATATTTACATGTCAACACTAGAGTAAAGAGAGACAGCGGTTCAAAATAATTCTGGAACTATACGCTCTACTCGCCGAGTGCACTAAAACTACTCGGCGAGTACATCTGCTTCTGCACGACCTACTTTGCCAACGAATTCTACTCGCCGAGTTTGATCGCCTACTCGGCGAGTAGCCTGCTGCAGGAGGAGTTTCTGATTTGTTTTGGCTACTTTTTTTCTGTGCCATTCATATATTCTTTATGAATTACTACTGAGGATTGTGCAACAACCCTTTTTCCTTGGAGTTTTCGAGCTATCAACCACACGAGACGTATGACACCCGTGCCATGGATGAGTTGTTCCCATGGTTAAAGTCACTAGAAGGAGTTGAAGAAGAGAGTGTCAACCTAGCGACTGCTACCCCAGGGGAGTTTGTTCTAACTTTCTCTCTATTTGCATTTTTTTTAGTTGTTATAATATGCAATGAGGGCATTGCATAAAATAAGTGTGGGGTAGGGGGTTAGTCACATCTTAGAACACTTAGAATCTTAATTTAGGCTATTTTTTAAAAAAATTTGTTGCATACCAAAAATGCTTAGGTCTTTAATTAGAAAATTTTGGTAAAAATTAGGATTCCATATTAGAATTGTGTTAATAATTGTATGAAAACCCAAATGTTTAGTTGAGCCTATATACGTTCTAGTGCATTTGTGGCTTCCTTATTTCAGTGAAATCATGAGACAAAAACACGACCTTGCTCAGCCTGAGGGATGCAATATGTTTAGCAGCCTAAACCTGAAATGTATCCAGGAAAGTTTTTATCATTAGCCAATAAAGGTTGAGATTGAGCGCCCCTGCTTAAGCATGTAGGGATTTGAGTGAAAAAAAAATTGAGAAATATATGAAAAAAGAAAAAATTACTAGAAAAGTTATAGGAATTTTGGAGCAAATGAAGTGAAGATTAGAAGATTGAAAATTCCGAAGAAATTCAAAAAGTTGAAGATACCAAAGATCAAACAACAAAGGTGGTGAATTCAAAGAAATTAAAGATCAAACTATCAAGAAAGTGAAGAATTCAAAGAGCTCCATAGTGGTATCATAAATTGTAATTTTCTAGATTATGTATGCTTGGGTTGCTCAATTAAAAATACCTTGAGGGTAAAGAGATTTTCTGAGGATGGATTCGGAGGGTTGCATAAAATGAGCATAGTTCGGGGTGAGTGGGCGAATGTTTATGAGGATTGTGAGTATTTGAAGTATGGGGGGTTTTTAGGAATTTTAGACACAAATGCATGCGTTGCGGTCTTGGCATAATGGCTGGGTTGGATTGGAGTTATTAATGTGATTTTAATGTGTTTAAAATTTAGTTTTGCTTGGGGGCAAGCAAAAGTCAAGTGTGGGGTATTTTGATATGTGCATAATTAGTTAATTATTTTATATATTCTTAGTTATTTTTGGTTAATTATGAGAATAATGTGGACAAAAGGTACTTAAAATGCTTTGAATTGTGTTTTCAGTCCAAAGGATATGCTTGGAGGCAAAAAGGAGAAAAGGAAAGCAAGTGAAGATTAAAGAGTGAAAGAAGGACCTACTCGGCGAGTAGATCGACCCTACTCGGCGAGTACACAACGATATACCAGAAGATAAGTACGACTGCTAATTCAAGACGGATAAGTATGCACCTACTCGGCGAGTTTATTCTGCTACTCGCCGAGTACCCTCTGTTTTGGGGATATCTTTAAAAGACGAATCTTTATCCCATGGGACAGAACCCCTGGCGATTTTTGAAGGATTAGCTGCGACTAAAAGGTTCAGAAGGCGCTAAGGAACCCTAAGCTTCAAGAGTTGGAAGAATTCAAGCAATTAGGTTAATTCTACCACTTAGACTTAGGAATTAAACATGTTTGCTTTCATAAACTTTGTTTTTGTGTTTGTTTCTACTGCAACTATGAGCTAAACTCGTTTTTGTTTCTGTTTGGGGAATACCAAAGAACTCCTATGGTTTAATTATAAATTCTTGCTTAATTGTCTATTGGTGATTTATTAAATCAAGTTTGTTAAAGAACCTTATGTATTAATCACTACTATTTTCTGTTAATTAGAAGGCAATTAGGTTGCATGAACATCACTTAATTGTTAACCTCATATGTCTATGTGAATGCTAAAACGTATGCTTGGAAGTAATGAGTATGAAACTAAGATTAATAAGAAAATAGGAAGATTAATGTGTGAGCTTGTTTGAGAAACCATCAACAAGAGGTTAATTAAATTGATAACTTAATTAACCATTACAAATCTTATTTAATCCAAATAATCAATCTAGGGAATTAATTAGTTTAAACACTTGATCAACGCTTAAATTAGTTAGTTGTCTAAGGGTTAGGAGTAATGAATATGAACCTAACTATTATCATTGGTAACCAATAGCAATTAATCTACCTTAACTTAAATAACCATAGGAGTGAATTGGTTGAACCTAAATAGAAACATCTTTATCAAATTTGGTGAATAGTTGTTGCTTTAGTTAATTAGTTAATTTAGTTTGTCTAAGTTTCTAGTCTTGCAAAACTAGAGAAAAACCCTTTACTTTTATTATTTGTTTTAGTAGAAATTAGCTATTAGTTTAATTGTCGTTCCCTGAGTTCGATACCTTACTTATCAATCTATACCACTTAAAGACAGGTTCACTGCCTTTGTGTGCTCAAATTATTAATAAAAAGTAGGGATAAAACTAGTTGAATTTACACACATCAGGAGGTCAATGTTCAAGAAGAGGAGATGAATGTTCAAGAAGAGATTCAGAATGACGAGGATATCCAAGAAATCATGAGGAGGAACACCCAACGAATAAGGAGGAGGAAGCCATCAGAGAGGATAACTAAGTTGAAGTTGTAGAAGCAAGTGGTCAACAAATTTGGGATGACTGAAAGCAGAGCACTCAATTTAGAACAGGTCACTGGTAGCTCTTTTTTGTAATTAAGTCATTGTGTTGGCTTTATATAACTCTTTGGGTAAAAATTTCCCTTTTTATAAATTTTTTGGAAAGTCAAACACTATAACATAATTTGGTATGTAGTTTGGTATGGTTATTTGGTAATGCAGTTTGGTATGTACTTTTGTATGGTTTGTAATGCAGTTTCCTATATTTATTTTGTAATGCAGTTTCCTATAGTTATTTGTTATCCTAAAATTACAACCATAATCCAAAAAATTGCAATCAAACCAAATATACATTTCATACTCAGATACCATTACATTAAAAGATCAATTTTTCCACAATTCATACAATTACATTCCAAAAGAAACAGGGAAACGTTACATTACATAGAAACATAAGTAAACATCCTAAAATTACATGAACATAAGCCAAACAATTGCAATTAAACCAACCAAACATCAAATCTTCCATCCCTTAACAACCATTCCACCTTCCACTTGCAGAGGAATCTGTTGCACTACTTCTTCCACATCTCCATCTATAAAGTCTTCAAATTCTTCATCATTGAGTCCATGAATTCCTGGTTGTGAAAATCATAGATCATCTGTTTGTACCAGTTGTTTGGTAATGGAGGATCTATCCATTCAAAGAATTTGCAATCCTTCTCCTTATCCTACATTGGACGACATTTTGCACAGTGTAACAACTATGGTGTTTAAGGGAAATTTCAAAGATTTAAAGATAAAAACCTCACATCTAACTGATATAAGGTTCTTCGGTTTCCATGAAGATAAAAACCTCACATTTAAAGACTCAAAGACATTCACCTTGTAATTGGGGCAACCAAGGAATCTCCTTCCAGGGTTCTTCAGTTTCCATGAAGTCCACCTACCAACTAGTTCATCACAATCGCACCTTCTTCGAACTTGCCTGGTTGACCTATATGCACTACTGTTGGAGACAGCGGAGGAGGAAGCCATATCCAAAACTTGCAATTTGGTCGATTTAGGGTTTGTAGACTCTTAAATAACGTAACAACTGAGGTAAATAAAGTAAGAGAGAGAGAGAGAGAGATGTATGATCGATTCAGCTTCCATGTAAGCAAAATAGTTCCACATCGGTTTGTCACCGGTTGCAAAAGTGGTAACCGGGTTAATTGGGTCAATTCGTCGGTTTATCTGGTATTTCATGCTTTTTCGTTAACATTTAATAGTTTAGGACTTTTTCGTAAACGCGGGCAAAATAATATGACTAAAATGGAGATTTCCCTAACCTTGAAAATAATAATATGAAAAAAAAAAAAAAAAAAAAAAAGATCGACTTAAATTAAGTGTGTCTTAATCATCATAAAAAGCTAATTAATCCAATTGGTTTTCACAATTTATATGTTGTGTTTGGATTGTGATTACAATGATTATATGGATCACGATCTGCATCATAAATCTAGTTTGGACAAATTTACTATTCATTAATGGTGAGTCGGGTGCTTGAGGTTGAGGTCAGGGTTGGTCCAGACGGTGGGTAATCCGGGCGACCGTTCAGGGCCCACGTATCCAAGAGGGTCTGAATTTTATGGGCTATGTAGTGTATATATTGAAAAAAAAATTAGTATCTAATTGATTTTTTGGGACCAAAGGGCTTCTAGCCCAGCGGTACCCGGTGTTGCCATCTCTCCTTAAGGTTGATGGTTCAAATCCCGTCATGGATATAGGTGGATTTAATGTGTAGTTTAGGAGTAGGTTAGATTTGCCGTTTCAAAAAAAATGATTTTTTGGGGGCTAAAGTTGGTTCAAACTCAAATTAGCTCAAAATATAAACAATTTGGTTTGCTTGTTATTGCGAATTGAACAAATCTATATTGAAGAATAAATTATAATTTTTTTAATATTTATTATATTTATCTTTAAGAGCTCTTTTTTTTTTTTCTTACTCCCCAAGTCCCATATATATATTTGGATCAGTCATGTTTGAAGCCCACTGTTTCTTTTCCTTCTCCTACTTTTGGGGTCAAGATAAAGTTTCAGTTCACAAATCATCTACTTGTTGCTGATTTCATTTGGTGCGTATTGCATATCTGATGAGTTATTCCTCTTTTTTTTCAATACTTTTGTATTAATTAGTGTATTTTTTTGGATTTTATTTTTATCTTTTCTAGTTTCTTCTGTTTCTTGTACTCTCTCTCGGTCCAGCTCCCTGGTCATTTTTTATAATTTTGGTTGTTAATAAAATCTCCTAAAAAGACTTCGATTTTGAGAAATTGATAAATCTATTGAACAACGTTAAGGTTCTTTTTTTTTTTTAATCAATAAAAATCAAGGTTCTCCACAGATTACATAAATTTCACATGTTTATCCACGGAATTATTGATTTACCGGTGAAAAATGCCTAATACAATGTTTCGAAAAAAATCAAAAAATAAAATTCCATAGGTTAACCAAAAATTGACAGGTTTGACCTACAAAAGTTAGTCTTCACTGCAAAAAATAAATAAATAAATAAAATTACTAAAATCATGATTTTGTTTTTTGTAAAAGAAAAAATAAAAAAAACATTTCTTAAAATGTTTTTAGTAGTATTTTTCAAATATTATTTAACAACTTTATACTGTTATAACAAATTTTTGATTGAGAGAGCTTTTATATATATATATATATATATATATATATATATATATATATATATATATATATATATATATATATATATATATATATATATATATATATATGTGTGTGTGTGTGTGTGTGTTTGGCAAAACAAATTTGCATTTGGTAGTTGGAAGTTGATAACTAATAGTTGGTAGCTGAAAAGAATAATTTTATTTATTATATAAATGTCTGGCAAAATAGCTAAAACCTTTTAAAATATGTAAAATTACATAAAATAATAACTGTTTAAAAGATATATATATATATATATATATATATATATATATATATATATATATAAAAAGGTAATTCTGGAAATTGATTAAAAATGTTTAATAACTTTTTCTTAAACACAAATGAAATAACTTTTAATTTGGAAGTTTTCTTTTTAAACTAACCTATACTAAGGTGTTGTTTGTTTTTTCTGAAGCAAAATATCAGCAGTCTGCGGATCACATCTGTAGATCTTTGCAGTAGAAAAGGTAAACTAAACGTCTGCAGTCTGGAAAAAAAAAAAAAAAAGACTATTTGTTTTTTTAACACCTACGGGCTACTAAAATAAACTGATTTTTCTAAACTTCAAAGTGACTTTTTAATATTTTTATGATTTTATTAACGAATCTAGATCAACTATTATGTATTATTGTATAAAAAAATAAAAATAAAAATGGTATGAATTAACGTATATATTTGATAAAAACCAACAACTTTTGATGGAAAGTTATAACTAAACATTGTAATTACTGATCAAAGAATTTGATACATAAATGGATGAAAATAAACTTCGATTTTTTCAATTAAATCCATTGAAACGTACCATAAATATTTTCTTGAGAAATTGACGATACTGTATTTAATAATGTTTTATAAAATTTGGCAAAAAAATATAAGAATATATCATGATTTTTTTTTCATATTTATATAAACAACTTTAACGACTATTATTGTAATAAATATTTATTTATAAATTTGTCAAAAATATCATGTTTGTATCGTCGAATGTTTTTTTTTTAAGTTTGGTAATTTTTTTTCAAATTGTTAATCATTAATAAAGTTAAAAAAATTATAAATTAAAAAAAAAAAAAAAAAAAAAAAAAAAAAACCTTAAAAAAATAAAGATATATATGTTTTTGTAAGTTAGAAAATGTCTGAAGATGTTAGCAGACTCTGGTCCACATCTGCGCCAAGAAGAGGGCGTGCATACATTTTTAGGTCTCAAAAAAACAAACAGTCTATGAATGCTAATGTATACGCGTGGTCTGCGCAGCACAGACATAAAATGTCATGCAGATCTGCAGACAAAAAACAAACACTATCATTTTATAACATGAAGTGGAGATGGTGTTTTCATGTTATAACATGATGTTAAGAGAAGAGAGAAAAAAGAAATTTTTTGATCGGTGGATAAAGAAATAATCAATCAAAGTAAGTGTTTTATTCTATCTTTCGTGACAACTAAATATACCATAACACCCCCTTAACCAGAAGGGGGTGGTGTTCATTGCGTTAAAACGACTTTATGACAGCCACCTTAGCTATAATGCAAGCAAAAAATAACCCATACCGTATACTACTTAAAGCAAAAAATAACCCATAATACTACTTAAAGCTAAAAAAATGAAAGCTTGGAATCGTTTGCTCCCAAATGTTTGCTGTCAAACACACCTATATATGTATTTTATATTTTATTAAAGATCTTTGAAATGGGATCTCAAATAAGAACGAGGAATCTTAAAACAAAGATCCGTTTTTTAATGATTATATCATCATCTCATATGCTCCTTACACCAGCTACCACCAAATAAAGCCAAAAAAACATGTTACATCCCACATGCACATGCTATGAAATGTGCAAACTTTAACCCTTTAAAATGATTGATCTATACGTGTGACAAGATTCATCGACATAAAATTATTCTCGCATGTTTTTCATGTTTCACAAAAAATAAACCATCTTTACATATTCAAACACATTTTATTACTGTTATGTAATTGTTACATTTTAATAATTCGGTTTAAAAAAAAGTGCCTAAAATTAAAAATAACGTATATTTATTTTAGAACTAACATACCTATCCTATTTTTTAATTTACACATACTTGAACCTTCAAATTTTAGCTTTGAAACAATTTCTTATCAACTCCAGACACTATTAGGCTATGGTTAAAATAGTTGCTAATGTCAAATTTACCATCAAAATTTTATTTTGTTATAACAAACAAATAGTTTTTAGTTTATTAGAGATGTGTAGATAAATAGTTTTTAGCTTATTAGGTTATTACTTATTGGGTGGGAATAAACATTTTTTTAAAATGTGTTTTGATTAACTTATTAAAATCATCTTATTTGACTTATTCCTACCACAATAAACTGATTTTTAAAAACTATTATCCAAACATTTAAATTTGCTTATTGTAGTGGGATTAAACAATAAACAATAACCAACCTATTTTTTTCCTATCCAAACACAACCAACCTATTTTTTTCGTATCCAAACACTCCCTGAATTTCAAAATCATAATATTAGGTATGTAACCACCCATTGCATACAATTATATAATATATTGGTCCATTACTATATAACATTGGCATAAATTTTGTGTACGAATGCATACATAACTTCTTATTTCACTTCCTCATTTCCACTCTCGAAGTCATTACCTTCTTCAAGTATACACATACATTACAAAACCATACTTCTCTTAAACTAAAAACAAACCACAACTTTCATAACACAATCAAACCACAAGCAATCAATAAACTCTCAAAGTGACAAAGATTGTTGAACACCCATTCTTCTCTTTCTAAGTCGCTCGGCTATGATGAAAGCAAGCTCCAATGATTGAGACGCATTGAGCCGTGGGTCACAATGGGTGTGGTAACGTGAGCTGAGGTCATCAAATGTCACGGTTCTTGAACCACCAATGCATTCGGTCACATTTTGACCCGTCATTTCAAGATGAACACCTCCCGGATGGCTTCCTTCTTGCTCATGCACATCAAAGAATGCTCTCACTTCCGCCTATTACAACAACATATCATTAGACTTCAAACAAACGACACGTATAGTTTTAAGCTTTTTTTCATTTTTTATAAAGTTGATAATAAGAGTAAATGAGACAGGTAGCTTACCCTAATAGCATCAAAAGGACGAGTTTTGAGTCCCGATGGAGCCTTAATGGTGTTGCCATGCATGGGGATCACTAACCCATGTCACAATTTGACCGGCTCTTCTAACCGCCCTAATAAGATGCGGAAGTTTGACCCTCATATTCTCCGCCCCCATTCTTGTTATAATTGTAATCCTCCCGGGCTTGTTTTGAGGGTTCAAGATGTCAATAAGCTTCACCAACTCATTCGGATCCATCTTGTCACTCACCTACAAGGACAAAATCGTAATTTTAGCTCTTTTTCATCAAAAGGGTGTAAGAAAGATCATAATTACCTTAATTCCAAGTGGATTTGCGATTCCTCTTAGGAACTCAACGTGTGCACCATCGAGCTGACGTGTCCGCTCTCCGGCCCATAAGAAATGGGCCGAACAATCATAATACAAACTTGAAGTTGAATCTAGTCTTGTGAGTGATTGTTCATAAGGCAAGTGTAAGCACTCGTGTGATGTCCAAAAATCAGTAGTTGTCATGATTGGGTGATCGGGTGTAAGCCCAACAGCTGACATGAACCCGAGTGCCTCGTCAACTCGGCTAGCTAGCTCAAGGTACCTAATTAAAATCCTCACATAAAATTCTCATCACTAAATGTATCTAAAATCATACAATAATTAGAGTCAACAAAAATCGACCCAACCCAGAGTTAGCAGGTTTTGTTGAGATTTTCAACCCGTTTAATTAAAATAGTTGGGTTGGGGTTGAAATTTATAACGTGATCCCAACCCGTTAAGATTTAATTTTATATTTGTTTTTATTTAATCTTATAAATTAAAAAGGTACAAAAACAAAACCGTAAAGTTTTTATGAACGTTATGCGGAGAAGTAAGTTGTGGTTTTGTTTCTTTTTAACTTCGTACAATTTTTTGGGTTTGTTTAATAGCTAATTTAACTAAAGTCTAAGTTTTTTTATTTATTTAAACATTGAATATTAAATGGGTCAACCGGGTCAACCAGGGTGGGTTGGGTTGAAAATCTCCCCAACCCCACACGACCCATTGCCAGCTCTAACAAAAATCAAGAATCACGAAACATGACTCCAAGATTTTTATAAAAGATCTTAAAAGACTATTATACCCATCATAAATTTCAAAACTTGTGACGATGAAAGATCATGGATCACCAAAAAACGAACAACATACCTATCACCCTGTTCGCTTTGCTCGGTGAAATCAAGATTCCATTGAGTAACCCTTTGCATCGCAGCATACCCTCCGGTGGCAAAAGCCCTCAAAAGATTAAGAGTGGCTGCAGATTGACAATATGCTCTAATCAATCTTTGAGGATCTGGTGTTCTTGACTTTAAGTCAAAGGCATCGCCATTTACATTATCTCCTCTGTAACTTGGTAGCTTCACTCCATCTTTCTCCTCAAAATTATCTGATCTGGGTTTCGCAAATTGACCAGCCATTCTTCCTACCTGTTTTCATCAAATTTGACAAGAATCCAAAATTAATTCGAAATTTCGAGCTCAAACACGAACAAGATCTTCAATCGTTTCATGTAATGATCTAATTCACCCTTCAATCTTTTAACCTAAATCAATAGCATCAACTTCTTAGTTGAATTTTTTACTAAGATATTAGAAAATAATAGATTATGATCCGCACCCGTTTTCAACTTTGTATTATTTAGAGAATTGAGATATTTTAGATGTTTGGTTGTTGGACAAAAAGTTATATTATATTATATTATATATCATGAAAAGATGTTATATTTGTTGGCTTTCAGAGATTCATATAATCATTATGAAATTGAAGGAGAAGAAATCATAATTTTTATTAGTATACATAAAGGTTTCAGCTTTATAATCTTTTTCTCAAATTTTAATTCAGGTTGCTTACTTGATATAAAATTGGATTCAAATTGAGTCCAGATTGAATGAATTACCCAGAAAATCGAAAAGGGGTTAACTTGAAATCATAGAAAACATGAGAGTAATGAATAAAGAATTGACCTTGATGACAGGCATTTGACCTCCGAACATCAACACAGCACCCATTTGAAGAATCACTCTGAAAGTATCACGAATATTGTTGGCATTAAACTCTTTGAAACTCTCAGCACAATCACCACCCTGGAGAAGAAACGCATTTCCCATGGCAGCCTCTCCGAGCCGTTCCTCCAGGTGGCGTGCTTCTCCGGCGAACACAATAGGTGGGAATGAATCGAGGGTTTGGAGCACCGAATCGAGCTCTGTTTGATCTGGGTATTCGGGAAGTTGAAGTGCCTTTTTGGTTCTCCAGCTGTCTATGCTCCATTTGTTAGGAACTGGGGTTTTTGTCGTGGAGGTGACTTTTGGAGTGGTGGTGGTGGAGGTGGCGGCGGTGGCGGTGGCAGGGGATGAAGGTTTTGATGACGACGACTTGTCAATCGGAGTTTTTGATGGGTCCGGCGAATGGACGGCAAAGATTGGCTGGATGACTCTGGTGGAGGAGGTGGCGGCGGTGGTGGTCGGAAGAGATTTTAATGGTGGTGGGAGAGATTGAATTTGGAAGGATTTGGTGGGTAGGAGAGAATTGGTGCTTGAGAGTGCCATTTTCGTAAATAGCTTGTGATCCAGGGGTATCTTTAGGGGTTTGGTGCATCAGGAAATGAGTGGTTATATACTTATATAATAAGGGGGTGGAGGTGGGTGGGAGTACTGGCGAGGGGGTTTGGTAGGAAAAGGGAAAAAAAATTATCATATTAAATGTTTCATTTTAACTTTATATCGGTAAAATGATTATAATATTATTATTTTAAAAAATTTACAAATTTACAAAAAATAAAAAATATTCAAAATAACTATAATTTGGGTTAATGTCATTTTAACCCTATAAACTTCCCGTTAATCAAGTGTTTAACTTATCCCACATCTACTTCTCTGTTCAGATTTTTATTAAGACTTATAATCCATACATTCAATTGTCCGTCAAATCCTTTGATTTAAGTTTCTGAATTTCGTTTTTTCTATTGAGAAGTTAATTCTAATGTAATTTTCACATCGGAAATGCTTGAGTTGTTTTATCATGTAAACACAACACGATAAATTTGAAATTGGGGTTGGACTAGATATACATTATGTTAATGTTAAAGTATCAACGGGTTTGTGTCAAGATTAACACTGTAAGAAATATTTATTATCAAGATAATAAATGTAATTTATGAGGATTTGGTTTGTAAGTAATTTTTTATGCATGTTTTGTTTTGTTGTTTTGTGATTCTTCAGGATTGCGGCTCACTATTTTGATTTCTGCATATACACACGGATCTATTTTCGGGTATCGTTCAGGGTTTGGGTATGGGTTAAACTGGACTTAAACCTGATGTTGTACCCGGAGTATAAATTATTGGCTTGCAGCTTTGGAAAATCAAAATTTGTTTTACAACTTTGTATCAGTTTTACTTTGCTCTTGTTTCCTTCACTCATCTTCTTCGCCTAGATTAGGGTTCTTCTTTGTGTATTAATTTGATTCTATAATCAGAGTCTTATATTCTTGTTTTTTATTTGAGTTTGAGAGTTTATGTAAGTTGAGGTTTTAGTTGTAAGTACTTGAAATGTAACGTCCCAAAAATTATAAGGTAAAATTTTCATTTTTAGTTTAACCATAAACACCATTTAATCATTTCATTCGTTCAAAAGTATATTAGGGTAAAATAGTTATCAGGCTACAAAATCTCAAAATCACAAAATGTGGAAAACATGGGCGGATGCATAAACTGTAAGCACAAAGCTTAGTGAGTTCCCCAAAAATACCCTATACCATATATGCATAACCGTTAAAAACATAATGGGTCTACTTCACCCCTTCAGTATCTTTCGACCGGTACTTGGTCTATTTCACCCCCTTCGGTATCTTTCAACCGATAATGGGTCTATTTCACCCCCTTTGATATCTTTCAACCGATATTGGGCCTATTTCACCCCCTTCGATATCTTTCAACTGGTATAAGGTCTATTTCACCCCATACAACTAGCATAAAATCATAACAACAAGAGTCACAAATACAGCAAGCACATATGTAACGCCTGTGTTTCTGGGCTTGCCATTTTTAGCAATGTAATGGTCTAGGTTAACCTTTGTAGCCCATTTTGAAATAATATAAGTGTATTATTTGAGTATTATGTGTTTTGTGCTTAATTGCTTAATTATGTGGTTTGATTAATTAAGAATAAAAACAAGCGTCAAAATTTAAGAGTAAAATAAACTTCATATCTTTAGATAATGTTGTAGTAGTTGAAACAAGGTTTCTGAAGATATAAAGAATGTCGAAATCCGAATTATAACGAGGAAGTTATGACCTGTCGAAGTTTCGCGACAAAACCGGCACCGCTGAATGACGTAAAAAGTGAAATTTACGTTAGAGCGATAGTTAGCCTTAGTGATCTAAACGAGAATCGAAGATCTCGTTGTTAGTATCAAAGCGATAAAAAGTTATGCAAGAACGGACGTCAAACGAAGAAGTTATGAATTTATAACGAAATTTTCTGTCCCAGCCTATTAAAAATAAATAATAAAAATAAAGTCAAAATTAGCCGACGGAGTCTAAATGAAAGTTGTAGAGCATAGTCTCACCTTCGCGTGGATATAAAGAACGTCGAAAACGGAGTTCGTATGAAGTAGATATGAATTTTCGAAGTTTATTATATAATTAATAATTAAATTTAATTATTAAATCCGGCCTTATCCGAAGACGAGTCACCAGACTCATCCGGAGTACGCCCAGCATACTCGAGTACACCCCGCGTACAGCAAGAAGTGTCGACACTTCGGATGACGCATGCAGTGACGATTTCGGAGCCCTGTACGCCCCGCGTACAAGTGTACGCACCGCGTACGAGGAGGTTTCAGCCTACTATAAATAGGATGCAAGGGGTTCGGGCATAATTGCTCATTTCTCCTCCGTTTCATGCCGAAGCTCTACGTTTTTACCCCCGAAGCCCCGGTAATATTCCCGAGTCCCGAAGCAAGTCCCGAGATCCCGAAGATCCCGAGAAGTGCGGTTTCCGAGCCGAAGCTCTGCCCGCGAGAAGTTCGATTTTTGTAGAGATCTTCCAGATCTGCTAAGAATTACTACTTTTGCAAGTCGTAGTGCTGTCCGATCATCTTCTGATCAAGTGAGTGTATATTACCTTTCATAAACGCAATAATAATACAAGTATGGTTTGAGTATGTTAAGTATATTGTTGTTTATATGGGTGAGTGTGTTGTTACTTTCTCCTAACATATAATTATGGAGTATTTTATACGAGATATGTGTTATGTGTATATTTTGTTGTTATGTGTGTGAATGTATATTCACTTTCTTCTATCTTACAGATCTGATTATTTCTATATGAAATACGTGTTATGTGTGTGTGCCTCATCTATTATATGGAAAATGTATTGATCAAGCATGCTATACAGGTTTTGAAAATATGTATAAAAATGTATGTTTTTATCTATGGGTAGATAGTTGGTGTGTAATAAACAGATGAGAGGCCTCGTTGTTGTTTTGATCCAGTCATCTAGCAGATTTTAGATGACGACCACGGACTTTTCTAGACAGTCCAGTGGAACGCTAGCAGGCTCATAACCTGTAGGTGTTAATGAACTTGGGTGTTCATTCGCTGTATTCCATCCCCCTCATGGTTGCCTTATTTGACTTATATTGCTGAGGAACCTCCGCAGCATGTGTTGTCACCCCGATGAAAATATTCTTAGATTAGGTCCCTTGTGTTAGTTATTTTAGGGACATAAAGTGAGAATAACGGGAATGGGTAACTGGGTTATTGTTGGTTGATAATAATTAATTTAATTATTTATTGTGGGTTGAAAACCCTATATGCTCACCAGGCTCCCAAGCCTGACCCACTCAGTTTTATTTGTATTACAGGAAGTGGCGCAAGGGCGTAAGATGGATGAACCATCAAGTTGTTTTGTTTACAAGTCTGTATATGTATATATTTGTTGAATGACTTGTAATGTTATCGTTTATGCTTATTGGTCTATATCGGAACATGACACCCGAGTTTTGATTATATAATGAAAAATACATTTCTTTTATGAAATGCTTTGGTAAACATTGTTTTATCATGTTTTGTTTTTGGGAACAAATTCCGCAACTCTTTCAAATCAAAAGGATTTACTCTGAAATTTTTAAAAGCATAAATGAAAATCGGTCTTTTCTGGCCGAGATTTTGGGGATGTCACAGTTGGTATCAGAGCATTAGTTTAAGCGAACTAGGAATTGTAGGATTTCTAGACTTAAACTTAGAATGCTAAGTGAAATTTTGAGATGTGTGTCTGTTATATTTTAGACACAGCACTAGTTTATTTTAGGAAAGTTGCCTAAAATGCTTTATGTGCTAAATGTTATATGTTGCCATATATGATATTATTTGTTCGGATCTATGGTCTGTTGCCGACCGGATCTAGAAACTTTATGTGTGTAGGATTCTAAGCGTACGTCTACGATATTAGAACTAGCATGTAAACGTTTCGGAGTGATAAGGATGATTTGAATATCTATCGTGAATGAGGATCTAATTTCACCTTATTCGGTGTGTAGATCAAAAATGGTGAGAACAAGAAGTGGAGTTGGAAATGCTGATGAAAATAGGAATCAACCACCAGTGATTGAACAAAGACCTGTCGTAGCAGCAGCACCTGAGCCAATAACCATGGCTGGTGTGCAAATGATGATTCAAACGATGTTGGATCGTCAGATGGATGAAACTAGACGGTTGCTTCAACAGAATCGTGAAGAACTGTCAATTCGTGTGGAAGAGCCTGAATTAAATGAAGGGCACTCGGAAGGTGGAAACTTCAGTAGATCAGTTGGTCAAGCCAACCCACCGATAGTTAGGCGAGACAACCATGATGGAAGGAATGATGGAATGGGATGCAAGTACAAGGACTTTCTAACTTGCAAACCATCGACCTTCAATGGAAAGGAGGATCCGATAGGAGTGATGGATTGGATCTCTGAAATGGAATTGGCCTTCATGACTTGTGGCTGCAGAGGCAAGTTGCAGACTATCTATGCAGTGCGTCAGTTCCGAGGTGGAGCCGTTCGTTGGTGGAACACTCTAGGGAAGACTTTAAGCCCAAACGAGCCACTGCAATTTTCATGGGCAGAGTTCTTGGTGCAGTTCAAGCGCAAGTTTTGCTCGGCTCAAAATCTGTTGGAATTGGAGAACAAGTTTCTGACATTAACGAAAGGCAGCATGTCTGTTGATGAATACACCAATAACTTCACCGATAAAATGGAGTTTGCCTTGCGTATCATTCCAGACGAGCTGACAAAGGTGGACCGGTATGCGAAGCGACTCCCATGGGAGTACGAGGTGCCAGTACGTCAGGCACAAACTTTAAAGGCAGCTATCTGGGCTGCCAAGTCTGTTGGGAACATGATTCAGGGGAGAACCACCAACAAGGTTGAGGTTGGTGAGAAGAGGAAGTTTGAGGGAACATCTGGTTCCGGTAAGAAAAGCAAATTTTCGAAATCTGATTCGAAAAGGTTTGGTGGGGGAAAAGGAGGAGAAGCGAAGTGGTGTGATAAGTGTAAGAAAAAGCACTTTGGGAAATGTAGCGAGGATGTAACTTGCTACAAGTGTGGAAAGGTTGGACATTTTGCCAATGAATGTCCGAACAACAAAAGGATGTGTTTTGGTTGTAATGAAGAGGGGCATATTT